CCAATGCTTCGGAGCCTCGGATCTCTGGGTCGAGCCGCGGCGCCGATGCGTCGGCGACGCGGCGCGATCCTCCGACCCCGTTCTGGGCGGCGGGATGAACAAGAGGCATAGGCTTAGGTCGGGCATGACAGGGCGATCTTGCGCGAAAAATTCAGAATACCCCAACAATGCCCCCAGAATGCTCAGGCAAAACATAGTCCCCATATTATTCTCCGACTATTTCGGGATCTTCCCCCTGTAGGAGGGACAGGCCCGACTCAATGGGGCGAGCAGGACAGAGAGGAGAGGCGAGAGCGCGGGGCGAGGGCCAGAGGAACATGCAGCGGCATGAACAGAAAAGGTGTGGAGCTCCACGCGGATGCCTTGCATCGGCGCAGGGCCCCTTCCCTGGCGCGCGCCTTGTGTCGACGTAGCTGTTCCCCCCCCCCTTGTTGGGCTCACGTTCAGAATGGGGCACTGTGGTCTCCACCTTCTTCTCTTCCCCCCTCCTCCTGCCGCCTCCTCCTCCACCTCCTCCTCGTCGTCCTCCTCCTCCTCCTCCTCCTCTTCCTCCTCCTCCTCCTCCTCCTCCTCCTTCTCCTCTTCCCTCCTCCTGTTCATCCCTCCCGCAGCTCTCTGGGTGGCTGCGCAGACCCAGCGGAGACCTCGCGGCTCCCCCGGGGGCTGTGACGTGCGCAACTGTCGCCACTTTCGTGGGCTCCTGGGAAGTCCCGCGGAGTAGAGGAGTTCGCAGACCCATGCGAGATCTCGCGGCTCCCTGGAAGGATGCGAAGTGCGCAACTGTCACCACTTTCGTGGGTTCCTGGGACGTCCCGTGGAGTGGAGGAATACGCAATCTCATCCGGAACCTCGCGGCTCCCTGGCGGGCTGCTACGTTTGAAATTGTCGCCGCTTTCATGGGCTCCTGGGAGGTACACCGGAGCAGATTGTCCTCGCAGCGTGTTCTTATGGAGTGTTCATATAGACAGTCGGCTCGCGTGGAGGAGGGGTTGCATGTATGTTGCTCCCATCGTACTCAAGGACCGCATCCCAGAAACAACTTCGAGCACCCCTGAAAGTATGGAAACAGTTTCGAAACAGTGTCTGCCCGACACGTCGGCGAAATGGTGAGCGACAGTCGGCCCCCAGGACCCCCCTTCCCGAGGACGCCCTCGAGCTTCGGTACCGTCCTGGTGCTCGAAATTCTTTGTAGTGAACCAGGGTAAAGTAGGTTTAAGTCGGGCGTGTCCTCCTTACATGAGGGGTTTTGACGAAACATCTGTTTAAGGAAAAAACAACCAAATATTCAAACATACTCAACAGATGCTGAAAGAATGGCCCCCAGACTATTTTTCTATTATTTTTGAATATTCCTTCTGCAGAGGGACATGCCCGACTTAAAGTGGGTCGGAACTTCACAAGGTTGGGTTACGTCTCGGGTAACTTCTTGTCTCTCGAAGGCGGGGGGGAGGAGAAGCGCTGCGGAACGCGGGGGTCAAGGAGCCCAAGAGGCCCAAAAGAAACCCCAAAACGGCCCTCAAGCCCCCCTCGGCGTGTAGCGGGAAGCCTTCTCCGAGCCCACCAGGGGCCGCCAAATACCGGATCGGGACGAAGCGTGGGTCCCGGAAAATACGATAACAGCAGCGAGGCAACAAGAACGCGTGCCATGATTCGGACAAGCCTCGTGGAATGCAGTCCTGGAGGCGCAGTAGTTTATAGAGGGGTCGGCGGATGTGGCGTAAGCCTATAGAATCTCTCGAAGGGCAGCGCCAGCCAGGTGGAATTTGGTCACGGCGGCGCCCATGATTAGAGCTGGCGCTGGAAGGGGATATGGGGAGGGAGTATGAAAAGGAGGGAGGCGGGAGAGGCCCCAAAGACGTCCCCAAGACGCCCCCACGAAACTCCCGAGAACCCCCAAAACGACTTCACTGTACGTACTCCGGACGTGCACCCCGCGAAGCGAGAGGAACCTCTCGAAGGCCGGGGGGAGGAGAAGCGCTGCGGAAAGAGGGGGTCCTGCGCGGCTTCAACGCCCACAGCGCCGTTGCTGCGGTGCAGGGCGAGGTCCGCGTCGTCACGGGCCTTCTCCGCCTCCGTCAGCCGTGCCCAGGCGTTCCGCACCTGGGCGGCAGGGAGACAGAGCAGGAGGGGCGAGGAGAAGGGGGAAGCGGGAGGGGGGGAGGAGGAACCGCATGCGGAGGGGGTGAGCAGGATAGGATACATGGATAGATGTACCGATAGACTTCACAATATCGGTATATACTTATATATCTCTATATATAGAGGTATGCGTATGGACCATATAGTTCCAACGATAGCTATGTGTGTGCAAATAACTGTATGGACATATCGACACAAACATGAACATACCGCTATTGACTTACATAGAAAATTGCAACCATACATACATGGCCCTACACATAGCTATATTCACACATGCATATAAACATGTATACATACACACAAATACACATATATATATACATATATATATATATGTGTGTGTGTGCGTATATATATATATATGCATATATAAATACATATACATGTCGTCAATTACGCACATGTATACATACGCATACATTTACACACTATAAACATAAGATACTACATACACGCAGGTCGGCATCCATGCATCTATGGTATATACACGTAAGGAGAGACAGAGTATACAAAGGTATATCAGTACAGAGATGTTCAGAGGGGGGAAGAGGAAGAGGAGAAGGAAGAGAAGGAGGATAACCACTCGCCGACGAGAAACGGACAAGTATACGAGGAGGAGGAGGAGGAGAAGGGCGCCTCCTTTTCCTGGAAGCTCAGCAGCGTCGAGTCGCCGAGGGTACCCTCGGCGGCCTGGCGCTTCAACGCCCTCAGCTTCTTCTCCTCCGATGGGGGCGAGGGGAACCTATCATTACCCCTCGCGGCCCCGCCTTCCCCCACCTCCTCCTCCTCCTCCTCCTCTTCCTCCATCTCCTTCTCTTTCTCCTCCTCCTCCTCCAGTCCAGGAGGCGGAGGCGCTGCCCTCCGTCAGCAGTCGAGGGAGGGGAACGACGCGGAAGGCGAGGGGAGGCGGGAGGGAGGGAGGGGCGGGGAGGGAGCGGAGGGGAGGGAGGAGCAGGGAGGGCGGAGGAGGAGGAGGGTGGAGGAGGGCGGAGGAAGGAGCGGCAGGAGGAAGGAGGCAGATGAAGGGGAGGAGGAAGGGGAAGGGCTGGAGGGAGGAAGAGGAGGCTGACGAGGACGAGGGGCGAGCACTCGCCACGAGAGATGAGGTCTACCCCGAGACGATGCGAAGAGAAACCTCCGAGGAAGGGCAAGGGCAAGGCGGCAAGGCGGTTGGTGTGCCCGCTCCGGTGCCCGAGCGCTCCCTTGCAGGGCAAGCGGAGTCTCGAGCACATGAAATGATGGTGCTCTCAGGGAGTCGCCCCATCGCAGGCAGGGCTGCCTTCTGCCTTCGTCTTCTCCTTCATTTTCTTCTTCTTCTTCTTCTTTTTCTTCAGCCTCGATGCCCTTCCCAGGCATGAAGCGTCGTTGGTTTTGGTCACAATTTGGCGGCGCACAGGGGGGTAGGGGAGGGGGGAAGGCTGCTTAGGAGGATGCTGCTTCTTAGAAGGTGCTGGCCTTACACACACACACATATATATATATATATATATGTATAGACAAGGCCCGCTCCTTCCAAGGAGCATGCGTGCTTGTAAAGTCTTCCCCCTTCCCCCTACACGTTGCTCATTTCTAATCGTGCTCCTTTCTAAGTGTGCTCGCTTCTGATTGTTCCTGGCCCCCTGGTGGCCAGGAAGAGGCCCAGCACAGAACAATTCAACATGAAAGGATCTTGGCCCCCGAAAATCAAACAACTTTCGAATACAGTCGGGGCCTTGACCTAAGGAACCCAAAATAAGGAACGAGGCCCCTTTTTCCCCTAAGTTAAACCTCGATTTCCCATCGAAAACACAAGGAAAACCTGAGGCAAGCTGTGACACAACCACGGAACACCGAGCCCCTCCCCAACGAAAAGGGTCCCTTCTTCAGGGCCCCGACTGCACTCAGGCATGAACAGTGTGTACGCCCCTCCGCGCGTGGCCGAAGAGCGTGGCCCCCAGAGGGTCTGGACCCCTCCTTCGGGGGACCGGCTTCTTTCAGCACGAGCCGCCCGTTGGCGGCCTCGGGGCCTGGCGAGGGCCCCAGAAGGCGGAGAGCGGGTCGGGCGAAAGGGGGGGGATAGCAAAGGGGGAGGCTTTGGGGATCAGCTCACGTAGCTGATTCTCCCGGCGCCTCCCGGCGCCGGAGGCGGCCATGCATCGAGGAATGGGCCCCTCGGCGAGGCCGAGACCAGCTGCATGCAGCAAATTTCGTAACCCCCCCTTTCCCAATCCCCCCCTCTCGTCCGGCCCGAGGAGAGCTGCCCAGAGCCACTAGAGGCCGACGCGAGCAGGCCAGGGCCTGCCGACGCCGCCTCCTCTGCCTCGATGGCCTCGCGCAGAGGAGCAAACGCATGCATGGCGTAGCCGCAGATCGGTGCAGCTACGCGCAGATCTCGTGGATCGGCGCTGGAATCCCCTCCCCCTGGCGCGCAGAGCGCGCCAGGGGGGCCCATCCGTGCGGACTCCGTGCGGATCTCCGCCTTTTTTTTGATGCTCATGCTGGTTCTTGTCCTTCGATCGGAGGGGGGAGAAGGAGCAGGGGGAGTCGCGCTCTCAGTTGCCGCCGCACTGACGCTGCGGTGAGCCAGTCGGAGCCCGCGCAGCGCAAAACAGCTGGGGCGGGGCGGCGCCCGGGCACCCCGCGCGGTCCTCGTCCTCCAGCGCGGACCGGATCTCCTCTGCGGCGGCGGCCGTGACGGCAGCCTTGTGCCTGGAGGAGGCGGGCGTGCAGTGGCCCGGCCCGGCGCAAACCCCCTCAGCAAGAGCTGCGCTGCAAGCTCGTTGGGGGGCCTCCCACCCAGACGTGCAGCTCCTGGCGGTGCGCACGAGGGGGTGGAGGCAAGGGGGAGGGCCTCTTGGGAGGAGGCTGCTTCTTAGAAGGCGCCGGCCTTACATCTCTGTTCGTGCCACTTCTTCTTCTTCTTCTTATTATTATTATTCTTCTTACTTTTTCTTATTACTTCTTATTATTCTTTTTTATAATTATGACTATTTCTTCCTCTTCTTCTTCTTCCTCCTCTCCCTCTTCCTCTTCCTCCTCAAGGCTACGTTTGGATGGGACATCTTTCGCTCGTTCCGGCCACGGGGGGCCCTCGCCCGGCCCCGGGGCCGGCAAGACACGCCTCGGGGATGGAGCACCGGCCCCCGGGGGAGGGTCGGGACGTCCGGGGGCCACGTCGTGACTTACCAGCCTCGAACCTCTCCCTATCCCCTAAGATTGGCACGCCAAAAGGCGATGACAATCTCAGGGATGCGCCCTCAAAAAACAGGGGACCCCCCAAGATTGGCATCGTCATGAGGAGATGCCCAGCATAGGGATAGGGATCTGTTCCAGGCTGGTAATTGACCACGTCAAGACATCGCATGTCTGGACAGTTCCAGCTCGGCCAATCTGTCAGGCCACCTTCAGAGCCGCGAGCGGCCCCCGAACCTGGCTCGACCGAGATCTAGCGTTGCACGATCCTGCAGGACCTGGTGCTCCTGCTGAGCCCTGCTTGCGCTGAACCCCGTCAGCTGCCAGCTGAATGAAGAGCAGCCTGGACCCTCCGGGCACCACTGGCAGCGACCGAAAGTCACCCTGCAAAGGGGACCGCGCGAACGGCGATGCAAAGCACTCAAGCCTGCACTGGGAGATGCTTAATCCTCTGTCACCCAGGCGGGGTGATCCAGCTCGAAGAAATTATGAGAGCTGCCGCCAGCGCTGACTCTTTCCTTCAGAGCTGGGGGCGCGCGTCCTCCTCCTCCTCTTCCTCCTCCTGCTTCTCCTCCATCCTTCTTCCGAATTTGTTTGTTTGCTCTTTATTTCATTTGTATGTATGTCCGTTTTTATGTATGTGTATGCGTGTATGTAGGTAGGCCCGTAGGTAGGCAAGAAGGTAGGTATGTACGTAGGTATGTCTGTGCGTCTGTCTGTCTGTCTGTATTTGTGTCTGTCTATACGTACGTACGTACGTACGTATGTGTATATGAGTTTCTATCTAAGCACCTCGGCTCCTCCTGGTCGCACCGCACGGCGTGTCGGAAGTGCGGCCTGGGCGCCTCGCCTGGGGCTGCCTCGCAGGCGGCCGCCATCGTCGGACCCTCCGAGCCTTCCAGACCGTCACAGCAGGAGCAGTGCCCCCGCAGGGGCGAGCTCTGGGTCGGCCCGGCACCATGACACTGCCGCTCCAGAGCGGGGTCGAGGGCCTCGACGCCATCCGCGACATCGTGACAGGCCCTGCGAGGGGCCTGAACACGTGTGGCCGCGCCCGGCCTACATGGTATATCACCACGGCCTGCCCAGGGCTCTCGCACCAATTGGCTGCAAGGATTGCTTCCAATCGCGCCCACAAGACACACGACCACCGTCAATGGGATCCCCTCCTTGCTTAGTGCCCCCCAAGAAACGACACGGCCGTTTTTTTGGAGAGAGCGTGATCCACCGCCGCTTTACCGTGGAAAATTGCCCCCCTCTTCCTCCGGAACCCGGGCGGGGGTCCCCCCCCCCTTCGAAAATCCCCCCCCCCCCCTGCTGGATCCCCCCCCTCCCCTCCCCCGGGACCCCCCCCCCTCCCCTAACCCCTCCCCCCCCCCCTCCCCCTCGAAAGCCGGGGGGGGTCACTACCGGTTCGAACCCCCCCCCCTCGAAAACCGGAGGGGGGGTCACTACCGGTTCGAACCCCTCCCCACCCCCCCACTCAACGCCAGCAAACGACTCCCGGTCCCTACCACCGTCCGCACCACATCCCCCACTGTTGTTCCCAGCGCCATTGTCCTCACCACCACTGTCCCCGGTGGTTCCACCACCAGTGCCCCCACCACTGTCGCACTGTCCCCACTGTCCCCACCACCACCACGGTTCCACTCTCCCCATTTTCTCCACGGCCCCAACCACTGCCCGACTATCCCCACTGTCCACGCTGTCCAACTGACTCCTCCGCTGTCCCACTGAGCTGTCCCACTGTTCCCACCACTGTCCCCACTGTCTCCACCACTGTCCCCACTGTACCTTTGTCCCACTGTCCCACCGCCGTCCTCGCCACCGCCTTCACCACTGTCCCCACCACCACTGTACCCTCCACTGTCCCACTGTTTCCACCTCCTTCCCACTGTCCCCACACCACTGTCCCCACCACCACCGTCCCCACCATTGTCCACTGTCCCCACTGTTCCCACCATTGTCTTCACCACTGTCCCCACAACTACCGTCCCCACCGCTGTCCCACTGTCCCCGCCACTGTCCCGCTGCCCCCTCACCACTGTCCCCACCACCACCGTCCCCACCACTGTCCGCACCCCCCCTCGGTTTTCGAGGGAAGGGGGGGGGGGGATTCGAACCGATAGTGACCCCCCCCGGTTTTCGAGGGGGGGGGGGTCGAACCGGTAGTGACCCCCCCCCCTTTTCATGATGAGTTGGGAGGGGGGGAGGGGTTCGAACCGGTAGTGACCCCCCCCGGTTTTCCGGAGGGGGGGGGAGGGGGAGGGGTTCGAACCGGTAGTGACCCCCTCCGGTTTTCCGCCAGCAGCGGTAGAACGCGCTCTGTCTTTTTTGTTACTAATTCCGCTCCGCCGTTTTTTCTCGCAAATTCCGACGCCTTTCTTTCTTGCCGGTTCCCTCGCCGTTTTTTTGCGCTGGTTCTCGTGCTCGGGTTCCAATCTTGGAAACGTTATTTTGCTATTTCCGGTCGCCGTTCTGTCAAGAGACACTTTTTCGGAAACGGTGAACGAAAAAACAGCCCTGCCTCTTCCGGGGCCCACTAAGCCTCCGTGCCCCCACCACAGGGAGGGGTGGTGGGTGGTCCTCACTCCTCGAGCCAGGCCCGCCTGAAGAGCCCACAGTCGACACGCTGTTGTGATTGTGATGCATTCTAGCGCAATGGCAGAAAAAGGGCCCTATAGAGGTCAAACGGCGGCGAGTGGCGCATATACATACGCGACACATGCACTATCTCACACCCGTGAAACTTTATCACGAGCTAGCCGGCAGACCGCGCAGTACCGCTGGTCCCAGTAAGCCTCTAGGCGCAATCAATGGACTACTCCCATGTTGGGATCACTCAAATCAAAGGCATCCAGGACTCAGTCACTCACTTCCCCGATGGGATAGCATTCGCTCTGGCCCTCGCCAGTTGATGGTTGACCTTTTCAATAGATTCATGGTCAGGAATTACGTCGTACGAACTAGTGCGTAAGAGCTTAACATGAAAGTATGTAGGTATGTTCTTCGTCAGACAATCAACGGCCATACTACTTTTACCGGCCCATCGGATCTTATCACAAAATATGCGTGGATGTAAGATATATACTTCTTCCGTTCCATTAATTCGAATATCCTATCTTAAACTTTCTAAAACGATATTCAAGCGTTTATCCTCTGTCAAAACCCATAGTTGGGGCGATTCGGTGCTCTTCAAGGCTTGTACAATCTGTCACCCATAAGTGTCTCATAGACATGGCTGGTTTGTCTTCCCAATCGGTTGGCAGCTTTTTTCCTGCGCCAGGCATCCCGCGCGCATCTGCGATGGCGGCACGAACGAATGCGCACGCCAGATTCTACACCCCACGAACAAGCCAGACTCCCTGCTTGTAGTGTGGATTTACATACTCGTTTGATAACTTTACTAGGTATACATATAGAGTGAACATGATCACTGTTCCCCTCGATGGATCCAGGCCCTGCGAGCCCATTGAGTCTAGCACTCTGTGGCCTGAGAGGCTCGATTCTACCCTTGACTATGTTCTCTTCTCCTGCCCGGCTGGCGTCAGTAACAGTAAGGACTATCATATCTTGGTTCCGCTTAAGAGCTCCACCTTTGAATTCTAACCCGCAGTCAGCGGGCTGAGTTGCTTCTTCTAATGCACGGTTGGCTTCTTCGAGATGGAGTACCTTAGCGTGACGCGCTGCTGTCTGCAGTCTGCCCCCACGATACAATAGCTAAGGTTTAAATGACGTGTAACCCATGGCAGTGCACCTGCGACCGATCTAAACTGTGCTGTCTCGCCCTCATTGCATTTTCTCGTGGGGGGACTGTCTCTAGGATAGGATGCAGCTTCGATCTTCTCAATATCGCCCCTGGCCATAATACTCGCCGTGGCATCTTCATCTTGAACAACTCCTAAGCCGCAATGGCGGAAACTATCAGACATGATCTCGCGAGTATCAAACTTTTCTAATACCGGAGCGATGATTCTCTGACTTTCATCATCTGCAGCCTGCAGTATGTCATCCACATGTGCACCTAACATGCATGTGATCTCCTTCCTGTCATTGTGTATACTGACTTAAGCAGGCATGACACGATGTTCCCTCAGACCATGAGCTTCAACCCTTTTGCGAATTTTCTTCCACAAACCTCGTCCTGCGTCGCGCGTGCCATAGACAGGCGCGCGCGATCAGTGCTCCACCATCCGGTGCTCCTTCGAGTCCGTCGGGCGGTGGCTTGAGCAGCATGAGGCGGTCGAGTTCCTGACGCTGGAAGTACGCAGATGTAGAGTCGGCACACTTGAGAGTCTTCTTTCTACCGGCAGCCTATGCTACTATCAAGCATAGCCCATCGAGTTCGCATGTTGGTGAAACCGCACGGATGCCCAACGACTCCTCCGAATCTCCACGTGCGACAAATATACTCTTGTACTGCGGTGCAACCGAAGGTCTACCAGGTTTACGGAGATGCTCATCCTTGTCAATCTCGATCCTTTGCGTAGGTACCATGCGGTATCCTTCGTCGAAGA